AGGGATAATTAAAAGTAATAAGTGGAAGCCTGCATCAGTGCGGAGGACTCCCAGCTGTGTGCCCCTAAGACATGGACAGCTCCCTCTGCCCAGTGCCAGCCCCCTCCTACCCTCTCTACAATCTGGTCACATCCATCATTCTCTAAGGAAAACCAGACCCCTTAGAACCTTTTATACCAACACAGGCACATATTCTTCAGGGCTCTGTTCCATCGCATGCTATATTGAACATAGCTTTAATGTTTAATTTACTCAGATCAAAACTAGCACGATATTATACTTCAATAAAAAGATTCAAAAATGTATACTTATATGTACTTTTTATATACACACTATATTTTAAATTTTAAAATTTAATACAAATGTGTACCCCACCATTCCTCTGAATTTGAGCTGCATCTTTAGACTAACAACCAGATGTTTCAAAATAGCCTGCTGTGAACCGCTTCCTCTCTGTGCATTTATAAATAGAACCCTGGCCTCTTTTCCAACTGAGTTTCAGGGCTTATTCCTAGTGGTTCCGTAATTGTCAAAGTCTCTTTTTCTTAGGAAAAGAGTGTATCTCAGCAAATGTCTCCCAACTTATTGATTCATTTATTTGCAATTATTCATGCAATAAATATTTAAGGTAAACAATTTATCTTCTCCAAGAGAACAGTGGGAAATATTTGCAGTTCAAGATAACAGCACCTATTATCTCATTTGAGAACAGTGTTAAGTGCTACAAAGAAAGTAAAGATGCAATGTCTTCTCTAAGAGTTGAAAACCAAAAGGGTAGATTAGAAATGAGTACCAGCAAAGGAAAACAGCATGCGTATGAACAGTAAGTTCCTTACTACAGTGGTAAGGGCCAGTAAAGACAAAATGCAAACACTGGAGGACTTGATGTGCCCAAAATAGCTCTTAAATAGTAATGATAAGAAAAATCAAATTTTGTGACCTTGACTTCCATGTGGTTTACGTTTTAAGTATTGTTTTATTTTTGAGACCATAGAGAAGGAGCGCCATCATCTTTCATGAGTGCCAGGGAACTCTCAAAATCCCAAATCAGCTTCACGAATATAAGTGAAATAAGCAGTAATTTGAGCCTTGAGGATGGAGGGGAGCTTCAAGATGTGTAGAAGAAATGTAGCAGAAGGACACAGCAGCACCTGAAGTACAAGGAAAGCCATAGAAGGGGTCTAGAGGCAGAAGATGTCTTCAGGCAACAGCAAGGAGATGAGAGTAGCTGGGAGGGACCAAGAGTTCAATAAAAGGTGATGCCAGAAAAGGAAGCAGGAATTGGCAGCAGGGAGGGCCTTAAAAAGCAGGCTAAAGATTCTGAATTTCATCAAGACACTGTGAAGGCATCTTGGCAATCGCTTTCACCATCACCACCCCACAAAGCCACATCACCTGGTAATCAGCATGGAGACCACACTTGTCTTTGCTCTTTCTTGATAATCTCCAACTCCAAAGGATCAAACCATTCTCTCCTCTTCCTAAAGCTATGTAATATAACAGTCCTTTTTGCATCCCATTTTTGTGAGAACTGTGAAGGCAGATGCACCATTTTTATCAGCCCTTCCCCAAGGATTTCCTCACCTACCCAGGCACCTTTGTACACGAATGGTCTAAGATAGAAACATAATTCTCCCTATTTCTTCACTAGTAGTTTCATCTCTGAAGCTGCTCAAAATGATTACTTTAACTCAGATCAGGACTCCTTTGTTTCCTCCATGGCATGGGTATGGAAGTAAGCTTATGCTGAATCAAAACTGCAACAAAATTTCACAGATCAAATTTCGAACTAGAAAAGACCACGTGAGGAGAACATCATTGACTATTATTTCAAGTAAGGAAATAAGCAAGCAAAATGGTTTAACTATCATTAAATATTTAATCTGATCAATGCTTAAAAGAAACATAAAATGATCAACTATAGGGGTCTAGGACTTCACAAAAAAGATGAAGAAGACATCGCCTATCCTCTAATCTCTCATCAATTGCTTCTGGTCAAAGCTAAGAAATATTTCCACCATTAATAACAAGTTCTCTACCTAATTAATATTTCAGAGAATTTTTTAAAATCCCTCTGTTTAGAGTAGGTGAAAAGATAGGATCCAATGAGTCAATAAATAAATGGGGGGGGAGGACAGGGAAACACTTGTTAAAATAAGGCTTTAACAGCTGACCATCATTTATACTGAGCATTTTCATAGCACCCTTCACCAAGTTTTCTCCAAGTTGCAGGGAGGTGGGGTAGAAAGTAACAAAGCAAGAAGAAATACCTTCTTGGATATCATGAGATCGATAACCCAGGGTCCTAAGCCGGTTTTTAAAACTTCATAGTCTCATAGAGTTTACGAGAAAATAGCAATTCATTATAATATGAATCCTATATTTAGCCACAGTAACTAAGAGTAGTTAAATTGAAAAGTATTAATTGAATATCTATGAGCCTCGCACTGCTAAGAAGTTGTAGTGATAGATGGTTATGAATTTGTATTCAAACGTACCATCAGCTTCTCCTTTCATGGACAACACATAAAATTTGACAAGCTTACAGAAGGGAAAAACACAAACACATATAAGCCTCCATGCATAAGTTTTAACAAGTCACTTGACTGACTCTCTAAGTATTTTAACTTAAATAAATCTTTGACCAGTCAACTCCATATAAAACACTCCTGGGGTTAAGACTCACCTTAAATGTGTGTAATACACAGAGGTGGGCAAATGTAGGTTTACAGTTGTGAGTATGCGAAATGGAGTTTACTCTTGTGCTATTACTTATTCATTCTTTTATTATTTTCCATAAGAACAACTGTAAACCTACTTCTGCCCCACCCTGTATGTTTAAAAAGGAGCCAGGGAGGTATTTCCACTTTAGGGCTCTAGCCTAGTTCCATGACCCATTTTACTTTTTCTTTCTTTTTTAAACACTGTTAAATAGTGGAATGTCCTGAGAATTTTCCCTCGGTGTTTCTCTTGTAAGGGCATGAAAGTCATCACTGACAGTTTAAAAGTATTTCCCTCTCTCTTTTTCCTTTAAGAAGTTAGCTTCCTTTTCAAAACAGCCAGAACTCCCTCTTCCAATTACTTACGGGCTGCGTTCCACAAACTCTCTGGGTGTGGAGCGCTTAAGTGCGGGAAAATCAATACCGAGCTGGTAAGTACAGCACCATTATTGGTAATCACAATGACATCCGATTAAAAGTGATTTTAAAAATAGGTCCTTTCTCAATACACTTTTTTTTTTTTAATCAAAAGGATACAGTCCACTAAGCAGCCTTCTTTCAAGGACAAACTTGCAAAAAAAAAAAGAAAAAGTTGCTATCCCCAAACTTGCAAGAGCTTAAAGCACCTTTCCACACGAAACAGCTTCTATCTTCCTCCAGCTATCAAAGGTTAGAGTTCACAGCATAATTTCGCGAAGCTTTCCGCCCCGCAGCAAAGCAGCGAAACAGCTCCAGGCCGCCGCAGGGAGGCGAGGGACGAGCTGAAGCAAAGGAGCCGGGACGAACTCGCTTTGCCCAAGGGGACGGACACCCATCCCCCAGAGACCCGACTCCAAAAGCGCGGGGGAAGATCAATCTGGCCAACTCACTGGCCACAGGTCGCCGCGCCCCGTGTCCCGCGGGGGCCGGGGGA